TACATGTATACTTCTAATAAAGCATGTAACTATGATCGTAATGTGAGTTCTTCATGTATTAGATTTTAATTTGTTTTGGGAAAATAAGTAACAAAGTTGTGAGGTGGTTTCCTTCTTGCATAGAGATTTTTGTCTTAGGTGGTATAAAATGGTTAAGAGAAAAAGACAGGGATATTAAGTTTTACCCCCCCCCAGCTAAGTCTTCTCTGTGTGTTTAGCCCCTGACTCCACATCTCATGTCTAGATTATCTGAGCTGTTGGAGTTCCAGCAGTGTATAATTATAAATATTTACAATATAGGTAGAAGCTGCATTGATTAGGAAAAGTGGTGGAAGTAGGTTCTCCTATGATTGCTTCAGCCATGGGTAGTTAACTAGGTTTACAGTATTGGGCCTAAAGTCCCAATTGATATTGAGCACCCCTGAATTCAATAAGGCATACATTAGTATCCCAAAGATAAAACTGCTGCCATTGCACACTTGTGAACACCTTGTCATGGTGGTCATTGTTTTGGCTCATTGTCTTTACACAACTTCATAGGATGATTTAATGCTCTTCTTCTTTGGAATCTTATATGGACCTTCATATACTATGCAAACTCATCCTTAGGGAAGAGTATTCAGGGCAGTTCTAGTTAAATACCCCTATTTTCTCAGTCTGATGAATGTGATGTCCTTAGAAAAAGGGTCTTACCATCAAAGTCTATGAGGGAAATCAATGGCAATGGCAACAGCCTATTTTATTTGAAGAAGACTCTGGAATCCATTAACAACTTGAAGGGAAGTTTTCAATGACTGGCACTGGGATTTTATTGGATTTGGAATTCATTCTAGGTTTGATAAGAATTCTTCTGAGAGATACTATGCTATGTTGTACCATTAAAGTAGTTTTTGGAGTTTAAAACTGCTGTTTGGTATTTTACTTTGCTCCCTAACCAGTAGATAGCAAATACTACCTTGTTTTCCTTTGTGAACAAAAACATGAATCTTTCTTGATAGACACTGTGGTCCTTGATATCAGATCTTCCTTATTTTACAGAGAGATAAATTGAGTACTAGAGGATTTTAATAAGCCAGTGTTTTTTTGCTAGAATTGAGATGGATCAAAACCTTGGATTCCTTTCCCACACTGGAAAAGAATTTTCAGAGAATCTAACTCTAATCCAGGTGAGTGGATGTTAAGGGGGGGGGAGGCCTTTCTGGACAGACTATTTCATGACCAGGCTTCTTCCTACATGGTGAATAGGAATGGGAAGGAGCTGCCTCTAGGGCATCATCTTTAGAGTTCCAACACCTGTGTTTCCTAAGCATTTTCACTAAGTGAATGCTGTTGTGGAATCTGAAGGTTTCAATGAGAATGGCCCCATAAGCTCAGATAGCTGAATATTTATGAGCTGGTGGTCTGTTAGGAAGGGTCATGAGGTGTGGCCTTGTCAGAACAGTTTGCCACTGGTGGTGGCCTCTGAAATCTCAAAATCCTAGGCCAAGTCCCTCCCTCTCTCAACCTCTTGTTTGTCAGATGTAAGCTCTCACCTACTGCTCCAGGGACATGACACACTGTCTGCTACTATGCTGTCCACCATGGTCATCATGGATCACCCTCTGAAACTGTAAACAAGCCCCCAATTAAATACTCTTTTCTATGAGCTATCTTGGTCATGGTGTCTCTTACAGAAATAGAACAGTAATTGAGACCAGAAGTTAACCTGAACTTTCTGTAACATGGACCAAAGAGAGGATGAATCTAAACTTATGGAGTGATTCTGAAGGAGATTTTTAAAGACTAGAGTCTATGTTTCTCATTTAGGCATACATTTGTGGTGTAAGAGCAGAAGACTGCTAGATAATTTAAATCACTAAGTATTGCAAGACATCTTGGTAAAGTTAGATCCCACATCTGTATTTTTCTGGAGATGTTTTCTGTGAAAGGTCCTCCACTTTGGGAGAGATCAAATCCTAGGTTGTCTCTGGCAACGACTTCAATCCTATCCTATCAGAAAATCCTAATTTTTTAGGAATTTGACCTGAATTTTGTTGCTGTTTTTCAGAACGCTGGGTAAACCCCACTGAGAAGGCACCCAGCCCTCCCTCACAGGGCCACTCCCCTCACCCTCCTGCACCTTGGTTTGTGTGCAGCTTCCCCTGCATCTCCCTCACTGTGTCTCTCAGAGCACAGTAGTACAGGGCAGAGTCTGACAGCTGCACTGAGGACTTCTGCAGGTGGAAGGAGCTGCTGCTCTTATGGAGGGTGGCTTGAAACCCTTGCTGCTCTGTCCTCTTGCTGTCTGTGGAGCTCTTCAGGAGGAGCTGAGGGGCTTTGTTGAGATATTGCATGTACCAGAAAACCACAATACCTGAATAAGTAGTCTGATAAGTGCAGTTCAGCATCAAAGGTGACCCCTCTGTGACAGTAATCAGGTCCCCTGTCTGGATCACTGAGTCTCCATTGCTTCTCCCTGAAAATAAGTAAATAAATAAATGAATGTGGAGGAATCACTTTGCCACATGAGAAAGAAGGTAAAGACTACCACAGCTGTAAGAAAATGACATCATCAGTGTAGCTCACCGAGCATCAAGAGGAGCAGCAAAACTGAGCAGGTGTCAGGAAGCATGTTCACAGAAGACAGTGACACTTGCTTCTTGAGTTCACCAAACTCACAGGACAAGTCTCCTCAGGACCTTATTGCAACTCCTCACTCATAAACAATGACCTCCTCCTGCATGCACAGTGACAGTCTTGTGAAACCACTACCTGATGAGACACATCTGAAGAGGCAGCGCCCTCTGCTGATTTCCCTTCAAACTGCATCACAGATGTCTGCACACTACATTGTGAATAAACTTGAAACCTCACCCCAGAAGGCAGGTATCATGTCCACAGTGGATGCCCAAAATCACCAGGGTTACTGAACTATGTGTATCCTGTGATGTTTAGGGTGATGAGTGTATATAAAATAATACACACGCATGCACACATACACACACTCACATCTCTGACATAATTTATATACTTTTTCTTATTTTATTGTGTTTTGAGAATGTTATGCAATATATTTTGATTATACTCCCCTGATCTCTCAACTCTGACAGATCCATCCACTCCCCTACCAGTCCAATTTTGTGCCACCCCAGTTCCAATAAATCACCTCACTTTTGCATTACAGTTGTAGTGCCTATATATTCTTGAATGTGTGGGCTTCAGTGGTGAGTGATATATATATATATATATATATACCCAGGGCTGTACCATTAAAGAGAGCTTAGTCTCCTTCCTAGCAGCTACCAAACTGCCCATAGCTCTTTAGCTAATGGTGGGAATGCCCACCTTCCCTCTGTTTAATGGGATTGTGTCTGGCCTGACCCTTTGTAAGTCTTATTTGTGCTGTCGATTTCTGTGAGTTCATGTGTGCAACTGCCCTGCTATATCCAGAAAACACTGTCTTTTTGTGGTCAACCCCCACCTATGGCTCTCACGCCCTCTTCTTCAGTGACTTCTGACCTGGGTAGGAGGGTTTGTGATAGATATGTTCCATATTCTATTTGAAACTGACTGTGCTACAGCCTCTTCTTTGCAGCACAGTTAGTTCTGGGATTCTGTGTCAATCACAACATGCTGCATCAAGATGCTTCTCTGAAGAAGACTGATGCACAAATGTACTTTTTAACAATAATTCAGTATGAGTTGATCTAATAATATGTTTGTTCAGCAGTGTAATAGTCACAGGTTCTCCCCTAGGGTCTATGTCTTGTGTAGTCACAAGTTTTTGTCCTCAAAGGGTGTCACATATGGGTTTCAGCTTGTGAAGTAGACCTTAAATCAAATCAGTTGTTAATTAGTTACTCCCATGGTATTTGTGCCACTATTGAGCTAATGGGCATGCCAGCCAGGCTGTGGCTGTACCTCACCAGGTTCAGAGACCAGAAAGATTGACAATCCATGTTCCAGCAGGACACAGAGCACATTCTAGCGCTATGAAAGCTATCCAGTAAGAATGAAGTATCAAGGTGAGTATCAACTTAAATTCTCCATGTTCTTTGACTTATTCAAAAGGTTTGTACCATCAACTTTCAAGCAGTGATCAACAGTATTGACAATATTTCATAATATAGAGATGTATATGGAACCAAACTAGTCAACAGAAAGTAATCTACTCCTGACATTTAGCTTTTTGTTCGTTAACCTGTGTTGTCTAATAGGGGCATTGTTGCCCCATTACAGGGTAATTCTATTGAAATTCTTTATATATCTATATCTATATCTATATCTATATATATGTGTGTGTGTGTTTATAAAACTTCTATAATACATTTCTATATGAATTTTTCAAAACATGTAATTGGAAAAGTTTTACCACATACATCTGATACAGGTAAATATCTGGAATATAAAAATAACTTTGAAAAATCTAAGCATCATTACAACATACAACCTGATGAAAATTGAAATATGAAACTATACAAATATTTCTTAAAAGATGAAGTACAAATGATATTAACACTGCTAGATACTATGAAAATACAATTTAAAACTAGTTTGAAATTTAATTTTACCCAAGAAGAATGATTGATGTCAACAAAAGGAAAAGACTACTGTCTAATTACTCACTCATAAGCTGGTGGTCACCTAGCCCACTTGTATTCCATAGATACCATGAATAGAACAGCAATGAACATGAATAAGCATATATCTGTAGTAGTCTATAGATTCCTTTAGGTATAGTCCAAAGAGCATATAGCTGGACCATCTGGCACATAAAATTTCTAGATTTTGAGGAATCTTTACATAATTTCCTTATTGATCCAACAGTTTGTATGTGTGTCAGCAATGAATAAATATTTCCCTTTCTCAAAATCTAAGACAGTATTTCTCTTTGTTTGCTTTCTGGATCCTAGCCATTCTTCCTGAAGTAATATGAAATGTAAAGCAGTGCATTACCTAGTTACTATCAATGACAGCCTATAAAAAGAGTGGCAAAATCATCAACAATAATAAAATCCAGCTCAGGTCTCGTTGGGGTCCAATAGGTTTTTGTGCAGACTGCAAGTGCCTGGGGAGCACTGTGTGCTCACTGCACACAGGTAGACAGCTGAGTCACTGGGCTGGGAGTCTCTGATGTGCAGAGAAACATGCAGGCTGGCTTTATTGAGGAAAGCTGTGAATCTGCCTTCTTTCTTTTCACCATTGGAGATGATGGACATGAGAAACTTGGGTCCTTTCCCAGGACGCTGTCTGTACCACCAGAAGTTCAGAGAAGCACTATCGCTGAAAGTGCAGTTGAGAGAGGCCATGGCTCCCTCTGGGACACTGAGGGATTCTGGGTTCTGCTGCACCTTCTGCTGGCTGCTCACACCTGTGCAGAAAGACAAAGGTCAGACAATGAAAACTAGATGCTTATGGAGGCCAATAGTATAAAATGGCTTTTCCATGGGCCTCCCACCCTTGACTAGAGAAGAAAAACTTCCACCCTTACCCTGGAGTAGACATCAACTTCACATATGACACCTTTACATCCAGAAGACATGCCCAAACTCACAATTAGCCTGAAGCCACAGGACCAATAGTAAAACACTCCAGTATTTCTCCATTCTCTCTTCACTGAGGATCAGAGTTTAAGCTGAGAAAAAAATAGTTTCACATTTCTAATGTTTATCGTTCAGGAAACATCAAGACTCTGTGCCACCAAGTAGGAAACAAAGCTCTTTTCACCACCCCTGTTTCACCAGCAAACCCCTCCCCCCAAACTCTCTCAGAACCACTTGAGAGGTCCCCCATGTCTCTGAGAAGAGACCGCCATCTTGTGGATACTGACAGTGGCAAAACATTTGCTAAACATAAACACCTTTCTTTTTTATTTTAAAACAATCTTACTTTACATACCAAACCCAGTTCCCTCTCCCAGCTGTTCTCCCACTCCCCTCACCTCCTCCCTACCTCATCCCCCATCTACTCCTTAGAGAGCTTGAGCTCTACCATGGGGAATTAACAAGTCATTCACATCATATGAGACAGGACCAAGGTCTTTCCTCTGTATCTAGCCTGATCAAGGTATCCATATAGGATGGGCTCCAAAATGCCAATTCATGAACAAGGGATAAATACTGGTTCTACTGCTAGTGTTCCCACAGACTGTTCAAGTCACCCAACTGTCACCCACATGCGGAGGGCCCAGTTTGGTCTTATGCAGGTTCCCCATCTCTCAGCCTAGAGTCAGTTAGCTCCTACTTGCTCAGGTCAGCTGTTTCTGTGGGTTTCTCCAGTATGGTCTTGACTCCTGTGCTCATCACTCCTTCCTCTCTACAACTTGACTCCAGGAGTTCAGCCCACTGCATAGCTATGGATCTCTGTATCTGTTTCCATCGGTTACTGGGTAAAGGCTCTATGATGGCAAGTAAGCTAGTAATCAATCTCATTATAGTGGAAGGGAATTTAAGGTAGCATCTCCACTATTGCTTAGATTCTTAGGTGGGATCTTCCTTATGCATTCCTAGGAACTTCCCTAGTGCCTGGTTTCTTTATAACCCCATAATGGCCCCCTCTATCAAGGTATTCTCATGCCTCCCCTCCTTCTCTGTCCTTTCCTGAAGTAGACCTTCCTAATCCCTCATGTTCTCTTCCCCATCCCCTTCTCCACTCCTCACTCTCCTATTACCTACCCTCCCCCCTCCCCTCATGCTCCAGATTTACTCAGGAGATCTTGTCTATTTCTCCTTCGTGTGTGTGTGTGTGTGTGTGTGTGTGTGTGTGTGTGTGTGTGTGTGATCCATGTATGTCTCTCTTAGAGTCCTCCATGTTTCCCTGCTTCTCTAGGATTGTGAACTGTAGGTTGGTTATTTTTGTTTTATGTCTAATATCCACATATGAGCACATATACACAGTGTTTATATTTCTGTATCTGGATTACCTCACTGAGGATTTTTTTTTCTAGTTCCACTCAATTGCCTGCAAATTTCAAGATGTCACTGATTTTTTTTTTCAAATGAGTACTACTCCATTATATAAGTATACCACATTTTCTTTATCCAGTTGAGCAGAATCTAGGTTGATTCCAGGTTCTAGCTATTACAAATAATGTTGGTATGAGCATAGTTGAGGAAATGTCCTTGTGGTATGAGTGTGCATCCTTTGGTTAACTGCCCAAGAGCGGTATTGCTGGGTCTTGAAGTACATTGATTGCCAATTTTCTGAGAAACCACTATACTGATTTTCAAAGGTGCTGTATCAGTTTGCATTCCCACCAGCTATGGAGGAGTACTGCCCTTATTCCCCTTCCTCTACAGCATAAACTGTCATCAGCATTCCCTAATCTTAGCCATTCTGACAGGTGTAAGATAGTGTATCAGAGTTGTTTTGATTTGCATTTCCCTGTTGGCTAAGGGTGCTGAGCAATTCCTGAAGTTTTTTTCAGCCATTTGTGATTCCTCTGTTGACAATTCTGTACCTCACTTTTTAATTGGATTATTTTCAATTTTGATATCTAGATAGAGGGAGCCATTATGGGGTTAGGGAGACACCTGGTGCTAGGGAAACTCCTAGGAATCCACAAGGATAACCCCAGCTAAGACTCCTAGCAATAGTGGAGAGGATGCCTGAACTGGTCTTCTCCCATGAGGAGCTAAAAATAAAAATCTGGCATCTTAGTTAAATACAAAATTAAGAGTCATTTGCTCCAAGTCAATGTATGTTTTCATGTACTTCAAGTTACACTTCAAATATTTCTGAGTTTCCTCAAGCAGCCACTTCCTTGAAATTAGTGACTCATATTTTCCTGTCGCCATCTCTGAGTGAGGTTCTTGCAGGTCAGGAGTATTTCACACTCCACACCTTCATTTTGGGCCACACAATACATCTGTATAAAACACTTTATCTTTGGCTTTTGGGAGAATTTCTTCTAGTTTAGCTTCTGCAAAAGCTAAACTTGATGGTAAGGATGTGTGAAGTCCTACAGGCACATATAGGGCAGTATGGCTTTTAACCATGGGATAAGAAAACCAGTACAACATTCAGTGTTGCACCTTCATTTTCAGTAAGTAAATGACAGTTTATTCCATAGTAAAAGCTGCTATGATACTAAGTTTACATCAATTTTGAATATGCAAATTTTATTAAAATGACATCAGGATCTTTTTATACATAAAACTGAACATTTATTTACCTGTTATATTGTTTGGAACATATCTATAATCATATCTTATGCATTTCTCTTTTAATTTTAGTAAAAGGAAACATGCTACAAAAGATGTTAACTTTCAACTTTCCTTTCTTTTTTTTGGGGGGGGGGCTTCTCTGTCCATTTTATAGTATTGGTTTCCTTCACCAGAAAATATAGATGGCCCAAGTACAACCAGCCCCCAAGTACAGAAGTAGTTCACCTGTGTCCCTTGTTAGGTGACAACATACCTACCAGACAGAAAGACTCCTCAACTCACCTGTCTCTCCCTATAGGAGGAAATCATCTACAAATACACTGACTCTCATGTGCCCGATACATTTCTACACTTCTTAGATTCGTAGAGTTACAGGTTCAGTTTTCACATTTCCAGGCAGAACGTTTGCTCTTTGGCAGTCTTTAAACTGGACCTGACAGACATCACACACCCTCAGCCCAGGATCCTCCCCCTCTAACATCTCCATTAACAGCCAGCAAACAAACACATCCAATACCGGTGGTTCAACACCACATGGACATGGAGAGCCTCTTCCCGACACTGTTCCAACAGCTGAGCCTTCAACAGCAGCAAGGTGCTCCTTAGGACGGATGCACTGGCACCAGTTGGAGGCTTGGGCTTTAACTGCATTTTTTGTCACTTTGGCTAGGGAGATCTGGACAGTTGGAAGTGAGCTTCTCCATCATTTTCTGTTTCCTTCTTTGTATCAAGTTTCCACCTGTGAAGCCCAGCACCCCACCACCAAGTGCAGCTGCAATTCCTGCCACTTTGAAGCCTGCAAGGAGGCCGATGGGACCCCCCACCACTCCTCCAATGAGTGCACCTGCCACAGGCAGAGCTGCCAGCTTGTATTTTGCAGCCTTCCCCAAGTTTTTGGTTCCCTCTTCAACATTAACAGCGGCACTGTTGACATGGTCTGCAATGCTGTCAATCTTCTCCTGCTGAGAATTCACTAGGAGGGAGAAATCAGTGACCAAATGGCTAAGTTCAGTTAAGTCCGCTTCTAAGTTATCCCAGGACTCAGTAGCATTTTGGTCTCGAGGAATTTCAGGCAAGGCATATATCTGAGTCAGACTCTGAGAAGCAGCTTCGGCCTCTGTAGTGTGGAGTGCTCCACCAACGGTTGTGGATCTGATCAGAGAAGGCTGTAATAAAGCTTCCTCACTGAATTGTTTCTTGAGTTCTTCAACAGACTCCAAATGGAGCTGGAGAAACTCTGCTGTGGCCACCGCCGCTGATTCCTTAACAGGGTCGACCATCCTCTTCAGAAGAGCCAGATCGTCTCTGTGGGCTTTCAAGCAAAGCTTTTCCATTTCTTGGATATTGGAGCGCAGTTGCTAAACAGTGCACCCTGCATTGATGTGCTCTTCATGCAACTTGTCCCAAATTCTGCACCGTTGATACTTCTCAATGTTTATCTGGTGTTTTCTTAACCTCTCCAGGTCTGTTGGTATCACTATCTTAGTGAATTTCTGGATAGCTGGCTCTAGTCATCATAACCTCACTTTTTCTTCATCTTCAGACATTCTGTTGGCCACTTCCACTTGTAGTGGCTCTCTTCTCTCATGCAGAAACACCTCCCACCTAGGCGCTCAAGGCTGTCCAAGATGTTAACTTTCTATATATCTATGTAGCAACATTAATCATTGTTCATTAATTTTGTGTGACCCTAAGTTATTTAATATTAGTTTTTATTATTTCACTCTGCAATATTATCCGTAAGATTTCAATTATTTTTAATTTTAAAAGTATATTTTATTAATTCTTTTAGAATTTCTAATTAAGTTGTTAGCCAAAATGGTCCCATAGGAATCCCCAACCAACCCAGTCTGCTGTCAGGACTATATCCTGCTCTCTACAAACCCAGGGTAAAAGGAAATACTATCATTATAAATAATGTAGCAATAAAATCATTCCTAATGACATTCTACTATACACATAGAACAATGCCAAAGAAACATCATCCTGCAGCAGATAGAAACAAATACAGAGACCCACAGACAAACATTATGCAGAGAATGAGAGACCTTGCAATGGCATGAACCTTTTAAAACCGCAAAACCTACCTCCAGTGGCTTCCTTCAATAAGCTCTCACATCCTAATTCTATCCATATAATCCTACCAACTAGTATCCAAGTATTCAAACATATGAGCCTATGGGAGCTACTCTCATTCAAACCACACACGTATAGAAAAAGGTTCAGGTACAACTAAGAAATTACAAAAAAAAAAAAAAAGATAAAAAGAAGAAGATGAAAGAAAAGAAAAGAAAGGAAAGAAAAAAAATGAAGGAAGGAAGGAAAAGAAAGAAGAAATTTTATGATTTGTATGCTGGTGGAGAAAAACAACAACCTTATCAATTGGCAAGGGATGTTCCTTGTCCCTTCATGGTGTGGAAGGGTGTGCAATTACTAGCCTTTATTCTTGATCAATTATTATAGCTTGGAAAAATAAAAATAATGAGCTGTTTGTGGATCTCTTGTATACTACACATATTATTGGGTTTGCCAACAACATGACTATTCTACCATTTCTCAGAGATGTGCCATCAGGATGCAGCTAGAAGCATGAGGTATTATCTTAGATATGGTTACTATCACTAAGATGAAACACCATGACCAGAACAACGTGGAAAGGCTTACATTTTATCTGGCTTACATTTCAACACTGTAGTTCATCACTGAAGGAATTCAGGACAAGAACTCAAACAGGGCAGAAACTTAGAGGCAGAGCCTGATGAAGAGGCCATGGAAGGATGCTGCTTACTGGCTTGCTCATCATGACTTCCTCAGCCTGATTTCTTACAGAACCCAGAACCCTCACCTTAGGGACGGCAGCACCTACAATTGGGCTGCCTCATCCAGTCAATCACGAATGAAGATAATTCCCTACAGCCAGAACTTATGGAGACATTTTTCTCCATTGAGGTTCCTTTCTTTCAGATAACTCTAGCTTGTGTCAAATTGACACTAAACTAGCCAGCACAGGCAGCACACCCTATGACACAGTAGAAACTCACTCATTACTTCTATTGGGGCAGGAGAATCACCAAGATCAGAGTTCTATTCAACTGTAAAGAAAATGACTTCATAAAATTTGCAGGTATATGGACAGGAACCAAAAGTATTATACTGAGTGAGGTAACCCTAGTGCAGAGAGAACATCACATGCTGTCTGATTTGTGGTCCTGAGACTGAATCTTCAGAAGTGAGAACACAGCTAACAGTGACCACAGAAACCAGGAAACTGAAAAGGTGCCATTGGGAGAAATGGAAGAAAGAGTCCATGAAAGGTGGGCAGTAGGGCACAGAGCTACAAACGGGAAAATCTGAAAAGGGAAATGACATTTAACTTGGAAGAGGGGATACTAAGGATGTCTGAAAAACCAGGCCCTCTGCATGTGGATGACAGTCATGTAGTTTGGTCTGTTTGAGGGGCCCCTGACAGTGGGACCAGGATCTGTCCCTAAGGTGTGAGCTGGCTTTTTGAAACACATTCTGTATAGTGGGATGCTTTGCCCAGCCTTGATACAAGGAGGAGGGGCTTGGTCCTGCCTCAACTTGATATGCCAGGCTTTATTGATTCCTTCATGAGGGAGGAGGGGCAGGAGTTGAGGAAGGAGGGGAATTGTGGATTGGTCTCTGAAGTGAATAAAATTTAAAAAACAATGTGATCTGAAAAATGAGAATGCCAACTAACATGTCAACATAGATATGGAAAATCCCATAAGGTCCCACTCCTATTTGACTGTTCAGAGCAAGGGAATCAATTTTCCCTAGAGTTAAGACTTATGATTGGTTATCCAGTCCAAAGAGGTCATCCTATACACGTGCACATAGGAGCAACATTAAATGGATTCAATCAGAGTGTGTGTGTGTGTGTGTGTGTGTGTGTGTGTGTGTGTAAGTAATTAAAGAAGAAGACATGAATTTGGAGATGAAGTAAAGAAATGTGGGAGGAGTTAAAGGAAGATCAAGTAGAAATTATTAAAGTATAGTACACATGTATGAAATTATCAAAAATGTTTAAATTAGAATTAATAATTACTCTTGGTGAAAGGTTAACATATGAAAGAAGGGAGACTGGGTGCCTTTCCTTAACTGGATTTTATCTAAGGAACATGGATTGTGCCAAAATGCCAAAGCATTATGCATGGTAGAGATGGGGATTCTATGAGTCTGAAGAACTGTATATAGTGTAGCCAGATGTGTTTTGGATTCTCTCTACAACTCATTAGCACACACAAATTCTTAGGAGTGTTTTCATTCTTAATAAGCCATTTCTGTTTCCATTTTAAGTCTGTATTTCTGGTGTAAGCCTTTTTCCTGGGACAGAGGAGTATGGTACTGGTTGCTCTCTGCATATAGATCCGAGCTCAGCACTTCTAAGCAAATTCCCTGACATTCTTGGCTTTCTCAGTGTTTCTCAGACCTCTGTGGTGAACTGAAAATGCTAATATTTTCTCCACCTCCTCACCTAATGGTGGCTGCCAGGATTTTCTTCTTTCCTGTATTGTTGCTTTTCTCTCAAAAACTATTAAAATTTTTCTTAAGCTTTCTTTTCAGATTGTTTTACAATTGTCTTTTTATTGAGATTGATAAAGCCTAAAGAGAAATTCAGTTCTCTAGTACAGTGTTGCAGACTGCTCTGTCCCCTATGCCTCCTTGAAGCCTGCAGGAGCAGGTTTTGGTGTTGGCTGCAAGTGTCTGTGGAGCATGGTGCACCCACCACACAGATGTAGGAGGCAGTGTCCCCGAGCTGGGTGTCTGTGATGTGCAGGGTGCTGTGCTGAGCTTCTGTATTCAGACTTGTTGAGAATCTCCCATTTGAGTTGTTGTTCTCTCTGTGAGTCATGACTGCCAGGGACACAAGACCTCTGCCTCTGTCTTGTCTGTACCACCTTAAGTTGTTAAAGGGGCGCACGGTGTAATTGCATTGAAGGATGCAGCCTTTTCCCTGCAGGACAGCCAGGGAATGGGGACTCTGCTCCACTTGGGTCCTGCCAGTAGCCCCTATTCAGAAAACAGTGTGAAATTCAGAAATCAACCATCCATACTTAGTGCTTGTGGTTTGTATCCTTCACTCTCCACGAGAATCTCAAGTGACCTAAGAATAGGCATAGTTTACTCTCTCCACCAATCCCAAGGAATTACATCCTTCCTCAAAATCCTAAGAAAATGTTCTTTGATTCCTGTGGCCCCCCCAGGTTAAAACCACCACTAACTTACACTGAAAATACAGCCATGAAATCACCCAGCAGGCACTCTGATGCTTCTCCATTGTTGTTCTGCAGAAGTCTGCCCCAAAGTTGCTGCCTATTTCATCATCTCTTTTTTGTAACATACAGGAAGTATCAGGCAGCACATCCAGCCAATCAGAGACTGGAGACCCACCTCAGCTCCTGGAGTCAGGACCAATGCAGGCACTGCCATCCTGGGGTCAGAGCTGGACTTGCACAAATCCTTTGAGTAAACTTTTTGTGCTGGTGATGTGATGCATGATGTAGATTCTTATGTATCCACAAAAACATGGTGGGGTTTCAGTTACAATCTATTTCAGGACCTCAGTTAATTTTGGCTCTACATAGGACATTAGAAAGGACATTAACATTTATTTCCTCATCTAAAAGTAGATGTGTAATGATTTTTCAAATGAATAGTAATGACTCATGCATGGTAGGGGCTAGTAGTAACAACTAGCCTGAAAATAGTCCAAGCCTAAAATGTGAATTCCTTTAGAATGTGACTTTTCCCTGTTCTGTTTGCTACAGTCACCAGTGTCAAAAAGTGAGTTTTGTCAAGAAATAGGTACATTAAAATTCTGTTTAAAAATACAAATTTTATTAATTATTTGACAATTTCATGTTTGCATATATAATGTATTTTTGAGTTAATGTTAAATTCTGCTCTCATAGTAAGTGTAGAATTTTAGTCATTTATTATTAGTTCTATAATACTTTCAAAGACCTGTTTTCTCAAAAATGCTAAGGATTAGCAATTCTCTGTGCTCCTGAATTACACCAATGGAAAAGTCCAGTATATGGCACAGGTACTGACAAGTGCTAAGTGTTGAAGGTTTTGAAAATTCCTTTCTTAATGCTTTTTATTTCTCAGAGAAAGTTAAGCCAATGAAAAAGTGAAAATGATTTAGGTAAGTAAAGATTTGCGGTATATCTGAGATCTAATGCACAGAAATGGAGAAAACTAAAGAATGGAAACATATGTTGCCTGAAAAATCAAAAGGAAACTAGAATACAAGACAAAAACAGACTTCTAGGAGAGAGTTAGGAGCAGCAAAGACAGTATGATCACTGCTTTTGTGACAGTGTGGCCTGACCAGATTGTTAATCTCACACTAATCTAAATCTCACTGTGAAATAGATGGATTTCCTGTGATCATTTGAAGGATTTGAGGAAAAACGACAGTTGGCCATAGTGACTTGTGCCTTTAATGTCAACACCTGGAACACAGAAGCAGGTGTGTCTTTGTGAGTTTGAGGCAAGCCTGAGAGTTCCTGAATAGTCAGGACTATATAAAGAGACCAGCAAAGTGAGGTGTCTTCTGCACAATGAGAGTCTCTCCCTTCAGCTCTCCATGTTGCTGTTTGCAAGTGAGACCCTGCAGTTTCTCCTTGTCTTTAAGAATTCCTCAGGTTTTGTGAGGAAAGGCTTGCAGCTTTCTGTCACTTTCCTACCAGATTGTTAGGTTACATTATGCAGTTGTCTCTCCAGCACATTTCATTATCTAAAGATAGACAAGGTTTAAATGTGGCTCAGTGGCAGACCCCTTGCCTGGCAGGGACAAGGCTCTGGGTTGGTCCCCAGCACTGCAGGAAAATAACTTAAGATTACTGTCGCAAAGACCACTTCATTCTTCTACTGATTTGAGAAGTGATGTGGCCTGGCATGCGAACTGTTACAGGATTTTCACAGCAGAGAAGTGTAAGGCCACACAACACAGGGTACACTGAATGAAGGCAGATGGATTTCAGAGGCAGATGCTCAGCAGCCAGGCAGCCTGCTGCCTCTCAGTTTGTGCTCAGCTCCCCCTGCAGTTTCTGTCACTGTGTCACCCAAAGCACAGTAGTACTCAGCCGAGTCTGACTCTTGGACTGATGATTTCCGCAAGTGGAAGGAGGTTGATCCTTTATCATGAGTAGCTTCAAAACCTCTGCTGCTTTCCTTCCTGCCAGCTGTAATGACTTTCAGGAGGAGCTGTAGACTTTCTCCAGGATATCGAACATACCAGAAAAGAACAGGGTATGCGATGGTTGTGATTGAATACGTGCAATTTATTGTCAGGAACCGGCCTTCTGAGAGGGTCACTTGGCCTCCTGCTTGAGTCACTGAGTCTCCATGGGTCCTTCCTACAGTGCAAGGAGAGCAGAGAGAGGGAGAGTGAGTTCTGTGTCACCTGGAGGATAATGCTCTTAGATAACTTAAGGCTAAAGACTTTGTTGTTTAAATCACTTACCGAGTATAAGGAGTATTGCAGTCATGAAGCACAGAGAAGAGTCCATTTTTAATGTCATCTAGAAAATGGTCTTGATGCTTAGCATGAAGAAATCTTGATTCGGAGGAAGTCTGAGTCTGCTCAGAAGTCTGAGTCTGCTCAGATAAAAGTCACACAGGAAATAAGACTATGTTAGGAAACTGCACCCCCTGGTGGACAGGAACTGAACTGAGGATGGATGCTACCCTGTGCCTCCTCCCAGATTTTAATAAGGCATATGTCAGTCTTTAGGTTCTTGTACATGTAAAGACAACTGTCATGTTACCTATGTCAGAATGGACAAGATCAATAAAATAAATGACAGAACATGTTGGTGGGGATGTGGGGAAAAGGAACTCTTATTCATTATTGATGGATTGCAAACTTGTACAGACACCATGCGAATCTTTTTGGTGATGCCTTGGGAAGATGAGAACAGATGCTATACAACTCTTGGGAATATACCCCAAGGATCCTGCACCTTACCACAGAGGCACTTGCCTATCCATGTTCCTTGCTGCCCTATTCACAGTACACAGGGATTGGAACATCCCAGATGTCTATCAACTGATGAACAGATGATGACAGTGTAGTACATCTACACAATGGATTAGAGTTCCATTGTTAAAAAGAGAAATTATGAAATTTGAAGACAATTTGATTGAGCTATAAAAATATGAACCTGAGTGAGGTAACCTAGACCCCAAAATATAAATATTGCATATTGTCTCTTGTATGTGGATATTAGCTTTTAAACTTTTGATAGGCATGCCATAATCCAAATAATCACAAAAGTTGGGTACCAGATAGGGTCCTATGAGGGATGAGAGTGTCACCCTAGGAAGAAGAAATAGAACACAGTGTTATAGTCAGACAAAAGGAAAAATGGATTAGGAAGATTAAATAGGGAGAGGATGGAAGAGAAAGGTAAATGAGGGAATTTGAGGAGGGACAACTAAAACGAAAGGCCATTTGAAAACCCATATGAGAACACATAATTGTAGAAGCATCCTAAAATATACATACATACATACATACACAATGAATCTAAATGGAGTCACTGAATAATAGGGCAGACAATGCTCCAGCTAGACATCTTACATCACCAAGTAAAACCCATGTTGATACGAGTAGGAGACAGAAAGAGGGCACAATAGTAGTAAAAACTAAGAAGTTCTTCCAGGCATTGTGACACATTATTTAATCCCAACACTAGGGAGGCAGAAGCAGGAGGATCTCTTATGAGGTCAGCTATGTCTACATAGCAAGTTCTAAGATAGAGGATCCCTGTCTCAAAAAACAGAACAAGCAATAAAATTAAAGAGAAATATATAATTGTATTTTGTCAGATAAAATAATGAAAATATGGTGAAAGCCTTTTGTAAGACAACACTGCAATACATTTACCAAAGCTACCATTTTATTTTCTTTGAATACTTTTTTTTTTAGATTGTCGCCTGACACACAACAGGCACAAATGACTGCATTGAAGACATGTGTTTAATGCAAAATTATTAATGTTATGGTGGTAGCAATATTTGGTTTTACTATGTGTTTATTATTTTAACAAATATTTTGCAATACAAAACAATGAAAATTAATAGAAAGATAATGATTAAAGACTAATCCCTCTTTTTCAAGTGTAAAATTTTGTACTTAAAATTAAAATGTGTCTGTGTATAAACAAATTACTTAGAATTATGTAAATGTAAAGCCCTGTACAGTGGAACACGATGAAAATCCCAGCCTGTGGAAGGCTACATTATCTCTCTCTCTCTCTCTCTCTCTCTCTCTCTCTCTCTCTCTCTCATCTACCTATCTTGCTTAAAGAAGTAGGCATATTTTCAATTCTCCTCAGAATGCAAATGGAAGTAGAGTTACTCTTTTCTATTTACCTCAGCATTTTACATTCCTACTGGCAATACATGAAGTTACTACCTCTATGCCAACAATCACTACTTCACATCTATTTTATATTACCTATTTTATTGAATGAAATTGCATTATCCTAAAGGCTGATCTTGTTTGCTATATTTCATTGTGCTTTATTCCATGCTTAAAATAGTCACATGTAATCTAGGCTGGCTTCAAAGTCTTAATCCTTCTGCCTCACCAATCTGAGTGCTGGAATTGAAAACATGTGCCACCATGAATGGGTTTATACAGGGCAATGCATTCCATCATTTGTCCACTTTGAGTTTCTCATTATGTTATCATAGAATTCAAGGGGATACAAATTGGAAAGGAACAGTCAAAGTATCATTATTTGTAGATGATATGATAGTGTACATGTGACCAAAAAGTTCTACTAGTTAATTCCACAGTGGCTAAAGTCCTACAATGATGTTACTGGATACAAGATTAACAAAACAACAACAACAAAAAAAAAAAAACCAAATCCAAAACAAAACCTTAGCCTTCCTATATACAAATGACAAATGGATTCAGAAAGAAATCAGGAAAACTATAACCATCACAACAGTGACAAACAATAAAAAAAATCTTGGGGTAGCCATAACCAAGCAAATGAAAGATATATGACAAAAACTTCAAGTCTTTAAGTAATGAAATTAAAGAAGATATCAGAAAACAGAATGATCTCCTATGCTCATGGATCAATATAATTAACGTAGTAAAATGGCCATCTTACCAAAAGCAATCGACAGATTCAACCCAATCCCCATCAAAATTCTAATATAATTCTTTACAAACCTTGAAAGGACAATACTTAATTTCATATACAGAAGCAAAAAAGACTCAGGATAGCTAAAACAATCCTATACAATAAAAGAACTACAGGAGGTATCACCATCCCTAATTTCAAGATCTACTACAGGACTACAGTAATAAAAAGCTGCATGGTATTAGCATAAAAAAAACATGGAATTGAATGGAAGAACCAGACATAAGTCCACCAGCCCAGGGACACCTGATTTTTCCATCAAGAAGCCAGAAACATGCAATGGAAAAAATAAAGCATCCTCAACAAATAGTTCTGGTCTAACTGAATGTCTGCATATAGAAGAATGCAAATAAATGCACACTTATAACCCTGAACAAAACACTAGTCCAAGTGGATCGAAGACCACAATATAAAACCAGACAATCTGAATCTCATAGAAGAGAAAGTAGGCAGTAGCCTCAAATATATTAGCACTACAGACAATTTTCTTTTTTTTTTAATTTTTTTAATTTTATTTAATTTTATATAACAAAGTCCAATTAAATGAAAACAAACATTTATACACAATATTTGGGAATTTGGGCGTTGTTCTTTCCAAACTACTTCCTGCTGGTAAGGGGCGCTGTCTTGGGGGGATTCGAAGAAGATTCAGATATCCTGGCTGTAGCACTACAATTTTCTAAACAGAAAACCAGTAACACAGGCACTAAGAATGACAATAAATGGTATCTCATTAAACTGAAAAGCTTCTGTAAAGCAAAGGATACTGTAAGACAATAGGATAAAACACCAGCCTACAGAATGGAAAATTTTTTTCAACAATTACACATCTGATAGAGGGCTACTATATGTGTTACACATAACAAAACAAACATTCCAGTTAAAAAATGGATATAGACTTAAACAGAGAATTCTCACTAGAGGAATGTGAAATGGTTGAGAAATACTTAAAGAAATGTACAACATCCTTAGCCATTAGGGAAATGCAAGTCAAAACTCTCTGATATTCCATCTTACACCTGTCAAAATAGCAAAGATCAAAAACAACAATGACAGCTCATGAGGAGCAAGGGGAACACTCCTCCATTGCTGGTGGGACTGCAAACTTATATAGCCACTATGGAAATCAAAATGATGGTTACTCAGAAAATTGGGCATCAAACTACCCCAAGATCCAGCTATACCATGCCTGGGTACTTGCTCAGCTATGTTCATAGCAGCTTGACTCATGATAGTCAGGAAAAGGAAGCAATCTTGACATCTTTCAGCCAAAGAATGGGTAAAGGATATGTGTTTTTTTTGTACAATGTAGTGATATTCAGCTGTAGGGGGAAAATAAGCATCATTAAATTTGCAGGCAAATGGATCAAACTAAAAATAAAAACATCCTGAAAAAGACAACCCACATCCAGAAAGATAAACATGTTATGTACTCAGTTATAGGTGAATATTATCTGTTAAGTAAAAGCTAATCATGCTACAATCCACAGACCCAAAGAAGCTAAGAAACAAGGGAGGTTCAAGGGGAGGGTGTAAAGATTTTCCTGGGAAGGGGAAATAAAATAAATTAGTTGGGTGGCCTGGGGGCAGGTGGGGTGGAGACAGAAGGATCAGGTAGGGGAGAGAAAGACTGAGAGAAATGGCTTGAATGGATGGACATTAAAGCAATATGGACCTAGTGCAGGATAAACTTTCTGAGACCAACAAGTGACCCCACTGAGGACTCCTAGTAATGGAGGATATGGAATCTGAACTAGCTTCTTCTGTAACCAGGCTAGGCTTTCAGTGGTGGAACTGAGACAACAAGCCAGCCACAAAACCTTGCACCCAAAAACAGTCCAACCTGCAAGAAGTACTGGGTAAATAGTGGCTCAGAGCTTTGTGGGAGTGACCAAGCAATGACTGGTCTAACTTGAGGCCCACACCATTAGAGGGAGCCCATGACCATCACTGCCTAGATGGCCATGATCCAGACGCTGGATGGCTCAGAGACCTAGGGTATGACCAAACATGACTGATAACAACAACAACGAGTTAATGAGATGAGTCCTAGTAAACTCTGCCATACTCATTGATAGGTGCCTAGCCCAATCATCATCAGAGAGGTTTTCCAGTAGCAGAGGGGAGTAGATACAGAGACCCACAGTCAAAAATCAAGTGGATCTTAGTGAGCCACGCAGAAGGATTGTAGGAGTCAGAGGGTCAAGGACACCATGAGAACACAGTCCACAGAATCAACTACACAGGACTCATAGGTGCTCACAGAGACTGAATCAGCAACCAAGAGCACACACCGGTCTGTTCTAGGGCATCTGATTACATGGTGTGGTTGTTTAACTTGGGGTTTTTGTTGGACTCTTAACAATGAGAATGGGGATGTCTGTGACTATTTGCCTACTCATGAGACCCTTTTCTTTCTACTGGGTTGCTTCATTCAGCCTTGATATGAGGGTTTATATCTAGTTTTGTTGTATCTCATTCTGTCATGTCCAGTTGATAATAACTAGGAGGTCTGCTGTCTTCTGAAGGGAAACTTAGGAGCAGTGAATCTGAGAGAGAGGGGAGGTGTGGATGAGTATTGGGTAGAGGGGAGGGTGGGGAGGCTCTGGTTAGCAAGTATTGTGTGAGGAAATGCATTTTTTAAAATAAATAATAATAATAAATAGTGATTTACTTATATATTGTTTGGCACTGCCTCAGTAGATACATGATTTGTAAACATTTCCTTCAACTTTGGGGTTCTTTTTTCGCTTTATCAATGGTATATTTTAAAGCATAGACTTGTTAGTGCTAGGACTATAGTTCAGTAGAGGCCTTGCCTAGCATTCATGAGGCCTGAGTTTAATTCCTAGCCATGAGAAAAGTAAAAAAATAATAATTATTATTTTCACTTTAATGAGGACCAACTACTTTATCTTCACTATGATTCTTGGCCCTTTGTTGTCATAACTAAGAAAGATGTTCCAATTCATGTCATTAAAATTCATTTCTGTGTTTACTTAAATGTGTTTTACTTGGCCTGGGGAGATGTCTCAGTGGTTCAGAGCACTTGTTGATCTTTCAGAGACCCCAAGTTTTGTTCCTAGCTGTTAGCTGCCTGAAACTTAAGCTCTCAGGTATTTGGTGTTTTCTTCTGGCCTCTGTAGGCACCTGCACTCACACACACAAGCACACACATCATCATCATCCAAGCTGAATACATTTTGAATCATGCTTCATAACTTGGTTATAACATTTGAGTGTGGGATCTCTTTGGTCTTTTTTAATGCATTACAGAAAGAAGGAACACTTTCTTTCATTAACAGGTAAGTATCCACCTACTTGTCCCTAGATTTTTCTCGAGGACTATGAATCTCTTTGAAACAGTTGCAGTACCATTCTATCTAATTCCTAGCCTGTATTATGTGCCAAATCCAAATTCACCACAATCCAAGTTTTTTTCTCCTAGCAATGTCACCCCCAACTTCCATGATGTTTAATTCAGTTCCCCTCATTTGATGTATGAGCATAATTGAGAAGGTTCCTCTCTTTGCCTTAATTCATTTTTCCCCCAGGAGCAAAGCATGCAAGATCCAGAATCCTTTTCCTCCATGCAGATCACAGCCACTTACCTACTAGAATGAAAGTAGAATACCCTAGAAGCACAAGGAAGAAGCTGCAGAATATGACATACTCTTGGCCAAAAGAATAAGAAAAGCAAATAAAAATGGAAGGAACTTATCGCGGTAAATAAGGATCAGGATAAACAAATAGGCTGAATAGATGTTTATTCAGGGAGAAATAACTTACAACCTAGACAGATGAACACCAGGAAATTCAACCCGATCCTCTCCTGTCCGAGTCACGCCAGAAAAAGAGAGCATCTTCCTGGCCCCCTCTGACCTCCTTCCACAGGTCACTTCCGCCCATGGCTCCACCCCCCAATGGGCGTGGTCACTGCTACAGAAGGACTATCTCACTACAATTCCCCTTTTAGTCTAAAGAAAAGATTTAGGCTTAATACAAAACTATATACAAAACAGTGAATAACAAGTGTGCTCCAAGAAAAGGAAAATTGAGAACAAAATGACCTACATATCTAGTCCTTGGGTGAGGGCATAATGGAGTTTACAATAGAGTTGTCCTAAGCTGGAAAACATAAGTCTAGTACCTAATATGTCTAACTAGGAAGAGAGAATAATAGTTGTGATAGTTTAATCTTCAACCTCATCAAGACCTGAGAAGGAAATTAACAATACTAGAGTAGACAGGAAATGCGGATGGACAACTTCCAAAAGGTGCAGCAAGGACAGAAACAGCAAGCCACCTGAACAGTCACCCTAGGTCTCACAGCGACGTTGGTACACCCAGATTTGGCTAAGGCCAAGAGAACTTGACAGACCACAACAACAGCAGGGAAATAGAATGGCTGTCTTACCCTGACTTGGCAAGGTCAAGCAGTCTTCTATATTTGTCTCCTGCAAGCACATAGGACTGCATGTCCAAATCAGTGGTCAAGGTGGGGGCAATTCTATGCCCAACAGGCCATTAGCTGAGGTGAGATTGAACTCCAGCAGGAGCAACAACAGTGTCCAACATATTTTTGGGAAAGTGCACGGTGCTGTCAGGAGCAACAGTGTCTCATGTCAATGGAGTACTAATATTAAAACATTTAAATGCCATGTTCTGCATGTCTATGAAGTGATTGAAGATTAAGCATCTATATCTGACTAATCTCATAAGTACAGGAAATGTGAGTGAAGATAATCTGTAATACTCGGGAACTTAGCTAAAAAGACTGATTAAAACTTTCCTGAGTAAAGCAGGAACAAATACTTAAACAATATAACTATTTACATATACCTACATGTAAATCCCTAAAATAGAGGTAGAGTATAAGTGTCAAGACAAGAGGTAGAACTATAAAGGGCAGCAAGATAAATATCCCAAATTGTATCAATATACAAAATGCCTTGAATACAGGAAAAGTATACATACATAGAATATGGTAAAAAATAATGTGCCTAAAATATTATAAGTGGAAACATTTAACACAATATAACAAAATATAAACTTAATTTTACATAGCTTACCACATAAGAATACACAACAATGTAAGCTGTAAAATACTATCTCATTCTTACTCAAATTCTCAAGGAAATAGGCTAATCTACCTATATCCCATCTTACCAACCATTCCCTATTCCTGTCTAAAAGATAAACCCAAGTGTAAGCATCACCCAATCCCAAATAACTAAAACCAACCCAAAGACGATGACTATTATCCCAAAATTCCAAGGGTAGGGAAAGGGGGCGTAGTCATATTAAGATTACTCCCAGGTAAATCCCACTTCTGACACCAGATATCGCGGTAAATAAGGATCAGGATAAACAAATAGGCCGAATAGATGTTTATTCAGGGAGAAATAACTTACAACCTAGACAGATGAACACCAGGAAATTCAACCCGATCCTCTCCTGTCCGAGTCACGCCAGAAAAAGAGAGCACCTTCCTGGCCCCCTCCGACCTCCTTCCACAGGTCACTTCCGCCCATGGCTCCACCCCCCAATGGGCGTGGTCAGTGCTACAGAAGGACTATCTCACTACAGGAACTTATTTCCACAAGATACAGACTGTCTCTGTTGAGAGCTACTACTTCTAAATGTAGTAAAATGTAAGACTCTTTATGAAAAACTAATAAGTTATCAGACATCGGGAGGAAATAAAACTAAACCCTTTTCTTACTGTACTTTACCAGGATGATATGGAGCATGTGCACACAAAAGCCATGATAATTCTGTGAATGACATGAGTCAGGTTTGGGAGATAAGATTTATAGAGGATGATCAATACATACACAGTTTCATTCAACAAGAGATTTTGTATTTCAGAAATCACAAATTCAGCCTAGTATGGTGGTTCATGCCCATAACTCCAGCCCACTGGAGGTACAGGCAAGAAGGACACAATTTCAAAGTCAACATCAGCTTCATGAGGAGTTCAAGGACCACATAAGCTACTTGAAATCCCTTCTCAAAACACAAAACCAAAACCGGAAATCACCATGGTGTGTGACTGTCTTTGCTCTTTCTGATTAAGCCTAAAGTAAGTCATGTTTCCTATGTGTTCTCAGTGCTAAATTGCATGGTTTACACTGCAGCAGTGCCTGGGTGTGCAGTTAGTATCAACAATAGCAGACCTGCTCCTGGTCCCTAAATGAATGATCTCAGACATGCTCAACAGTCACGATCCTCGTTCTCAGAGTTTGTGCTCATCTTCCCATGCAGATTGTGCCACTGTCACTCAGAGCACAGTAGTACACAGCCGAGTCTGACTCTTGGACAGAGGCTTTCTGCAAGTGGAAGGAAGTGGATCCTCTATCATATGTAGCTTCAAAATCTCTGCTTCCTCCCTTTTCATTTGTTTTCAAGGCTCTTACGAGGAGCTGTGGACCTTCTCTGGGATACTGCACGTACCAGAACAGGGTTGGGTACTCTTCAGTTTCATAGGAGCAGTTCACAGTCAGAGACGTGTCACTTGGACTTCTGTTTGTGTCACTGAGTCTCCATTGCATTGTCCTAAAAAGAGAAATTGATAACAACAATTCAGTGTTGGTCACATTGCTGATGACCTATATTTTTCCTCATAGGAAAAATGCCCTTAAAATTTATATCAATATCACAGAACAAGACAGAAGGTCCACTTACCAAATGTCATTCCACTTACCAAACATTAAGAAGACTAGTCCCAGAGAAGAGTTAGTTCATTTTCTGAGCCACTGGTGTGTGTGAGTCTTAATTTCTTAAGTTAGGAAAGGTCAAGGTCTTAGTGAAAGGATAAATGTGAGCTAGGAATTAAACAGGAAATGTGTATGTGTTAGGTAGACTTACTCTCCCCCCCCCACCCCTGTTTTAGGCAATTTGCTAACCTCAGAAGATTGTTGACCTATATTTTCTAAGTCAGTGATGGAGTGGCACCCTTGGAGCTTTTATTTTGCCCAAGACAGCTGGTAGAGGTTTGGGCAGGGCTTCCATAATTCTGAAGGATAGCTGTAATAGGCTTATTTGCTCTTTTACATTGTCTTACTTGGAAACACCATTACATGCCATTTATAAGTTTCTTGTGTAGCCACTTTGGACCATGTGGTAATTCACTGGAAAAATCAGGCAAGTAAGGAATATCAACCAGATAACCTAGGGGAAAAGAGACACTTTTTCCATGTGTTACCCTACACTTGGGCAGCTGTCATAAACCTAAAGGATAGCAAACAGATACTTGTAAAATTAATAAATGAAGGAGGCAAGGGGTGGTGGGAAGGGAGGTGGGAGGGAAAACTGTTGGAATATAAAATGAAATAAAAAATAAAAGATGGAAAAACTTTAATAAATGAATATTGTTTGTTTAAAGGAATGTCACTACTTGAAACAGTCATTTGCTTCACATTTGAAACATTTATCATAAACTCAACTTAGTGAAAGTTTTGAAAAATTCAATTTTATATTGCATGTATATTATTGAATAATTTCAAATATTGTAGGTGTTACTCAGTGATAGAGCACATAGCCTATTATGCATGAGGCTTTGGGAATCGGTCTCCATCACCTCAAAAATAGTAATAATAATAACAAACCCCATGGCTGTTTGAAGAGAATGGTACCTATTGGCTCCTGTGTTTGAGTACTTGGTACCCAGATGGTAAAACTAGGAAGAGTTAGGAGGTGTGGTCTTGTCACCTTCTCTGCCTTGTGGTTGTGTCTCAGGATGGATGCTCTCAGCCATTGCTCAAGTAGCATGCTCCTGTGCCATGCTTCCCACTATTATGGACATGAACTCTAATCCTCTGAAACTGTAAGACCTAAATAAACTCTTTTGTCTGTTAGTTGCCTAAGCTGTAGTGTCTCTTCATAGCTACATAAAATTAACTAAGATAAACCCATATAACTTGCATTCTTAGGGAAATACAGAATTGAAGATATTGAATACCCATGGAAGTGAATGGAATTCTCTTTCCCCTCACATATGATTGGCCTGTGTACACTGAGCAGATTTTGCATTAGATATAGCCTTAAATGTATTGTTGTTTTGATACTATCCCTTCTATAGATACTTTTTCTCAACTTTGCTTTCCCTATATCTTTATCTGTCAACATTATTTGCATAATCAATATAGTTCCACAAATTCATAGTCACACAGGACCACATCTTCCCATAAATTCATAGTCACACAGGCCCATGTCCTCCCAGAGTGAGTATGTTTCTGACGAGACTGAAGATTGATTGAGCTAAACCTTACCCTCTAGGAACAGGCACAAATGGTGTGTCTGTGAATTAACAGTGTGCTCCTCACAATGGAGCCACTCTCCAGCCCTCACAGCTTTTGAAGTGTGTGTTTACTAAGGAATGACTCTGATTGATAAATGCAGTAAGACTCTCAAGAGGATCTGAGTTCGGTTCCCAATACCTACTCCCAATGACTAAGAACATTCTTTAATACCAAAGCCAAGAAAATTCAATGTCCCTAAGCCCTGAAGGCATTAAACATCATTAAAACACACATGCACACATAAGCACGCACACACAAATGTGCACACACCATTAAAAATAAGAAATATTTTCAAGTTGTGGATTGCATCAAAAGTTCTGACTCCATCCATGGTTTCTGTCACCAAAGGTCTCCTTTTTCTATTAACAGCGGCCCCTTACTTCTTGAAGCAGGAGCTACAACCTTTCCACGTGCTAACACAGTCAGGATGCTTTTTACTGAGCATCACTGAATGAGGTAGGCAAATAAAGACTATGGGTATGTCATAGGAGGCTAAGGGTTTCTTTTTGTTTATAGTGGCTCTTTGTTTTTTTTTTTTTTTAATTTCTTCACTGTCAACTAGAGAACTATGTCTTTCTGAATGCAAAGTGAAATTGCACAGTATTTAGGAGGCAGAGATGAGGTACCAGCTATTGTCTCCCAAAGACACTGTATACTAAGTGGTTACATCTTGCTCTTGTTTTACTCTATTCCCATCTAAAAATAAATAAACAACTCCACAGTAAGTAAATAACCATTACTGTCATACACCTCAGGTACCATGTAACCTATCATAAAAACAGAAACTAGAATCATGAAATTTATCACAACTTACAGTAACTATGATGTTGCAATCTTTGAGGACTTGTCATTACCATATTTATTCCACATAGAAGATTCTTGCTTCCATTTAACCATAAAAAAAAGAATCCTACAGACTCCCTTTATGTATTTACCTCCTATGGCTACCTCTCTGTTAATTAAATCTTTTCACTGAATTATTCTAGTATCCAGCTTTGAAAGGGGCATTTGAGTGCAAAAAGTCTAATTAGGAAATATATGCAGCAATGAAGTAGGGTTTTAGAGAGACCATAAAGGGGATGAAGTCACTGTGGCTCTTTTACACTCTTGACAAGAATGAAAACCAATGAGAGCATTTTCAAGAGAAGTGTGATATCTACAAGTAGTTCATATGTATGTGTGTGCACACATGTAACAGTGTATGTAGAGTGTATGTAGAGATCAGAAGACAATTCGTGGTAGTCATTTCCTTCTGTCCACCATGTGGATTCCAGAGATTAAAGTCAGGTTCTCAGGGTTGGTGATGAACACCTTGATCCACTCAGCCATCTTGATGAACTTCATGGAAAATTTTTAAAAGTTCAAATTCTATAGCAAAACAAACCTGATTGGAGATGTCATTCTGTAAATATGTTTCTCATACTGGTTAATGAATAAAGCACTGTTGGCCAATAGGAAAGCAAGATAGGTGGGACTAGGAGACAAGGAGGATTGGAGGAAGTAGGAGGGAGGAGCCAGCATGTAGATACTGGAGAAAACAGAGGTCCGGTCCCACTCTCTGGTAAGATGAGACCACATGGAAATACTTAGATTAATAGAAATGGGATAATAGTTAAGACAGAGCTAGCTGATAAGAAACTAGTAACTGGCCAGCAGCATTATATCTAATGTCTCTGTGTGTTAATTGGGGCTGGTGCCAATGGTGGGTTGAGGCCAGCAGGAAAAACTTTACTCCTTAAACAAACCTTTGAGTGTATTAAGTTTCTGCTCAGCAACATAAACAGGGAAATAGCTAGAACTGCATTCCTTGTGGGGTCTTTGAAATAAAAGCATGGAATTTCCTCCTTTTAAAACATCATGTTAAATTTCTAATTCTCGTTCAGAAACCCAGTAAAGATAAAGATCAGCTGCATCACTCTGAACATTGCTTGAGCAACACAATTCTAATTCATAAGCTCTATCTGGACTGTAAAAGAATTGTGGAAGCTAAAAATTATATCTCAGTGACTGTTGTAACTATGACAGTAAGTATTGGTTCCTGCTTACTACATGCTCCTTCTAACTCCAGGTGGCCTGTTGGTCTTGGTCCTTCTTGGCTGAACACTTGACTAGGGAGGAGAGGGGAAAAGGCTGATAAAGGAAGGCTGAGCTGTGTAGAGGCCTGAAACCTTGGAAATGTGACTGGTGGTGACTTACTGATCTTGTGAACCCTACTTCTGACTGAAACTTCCATTATTTCTGCTGATATTGCCCCAACCACATCAAAGTGACAAATTGTATATTTTTAAGTTGAGATGATGCACAGTAGTTTAAAACATTGTAATAGATTATTACAACTTTCCCATGTCTCCAAATTATTTTAGTAAAAAAGCAAACCTCGTAATTATCAAACAATGTTTTATTATTGAATATAACACAGAGCTACACTGCATTAATATATGCAATTATATTAGAAATGCAAGGTACACATTTGGGAAACAAAGTTGATCAGCTTTGTTTTCAGAGAATGAAAGGGAATAACAATGAGGTGCAAAACAAGAACAATAACAAATTTATTGATAATGTTTTAAATTTTAATTGAAATTTTACATTTGAGTATAACCATTCTAACTTAGAGAAATATACTTAAAGGATATCATAACTTGTCAAGAAGCAAATATAACTGTCTGAAGCTTTGAGGTTTTCCACTTCTCATTAGTGTATTTATGGAACATTGGTCATATTGCTGAAGAAGAAATAATACTGCATTTATCACATATGATCCTGTGTCTCAGTCATACAAACAGAATTCCTATGAGGTCACAGCTGTTCTTGCTCCCGTTATTATCAGTGAGCTCCAGAAAAAAAAATACTTTGGTGAAATAGCCTGCTTCCCACAACAGTCTGTCTTAAATGAGCAGGCACCATGAAGATTGAGAGGCTGTAGCCTCTTGCAACTGGACAAGAATCCTCATCACAATCCTTTTCATAAACTCCAAGTGTTCCTCTTCTTCCTTGCAGACCCCCATTTCCCATGAAAGAGTGCCTGTCCTTCACTGTTTGAAGTAGTTTCATCTGTTGAGGTCAGACTCTTGTCTCTTTCCTGCCTTTTGTCTCTTTACTCTTTGCACCGAATCTAACGAAGCTGCCATGAGATTAAGTAAGGATGGCATTGTACTTCCCTTTCCAGTTGCTATGACAACAATGTCAGGTTACAGTCCATCATAGCATGGAAATCACAGCAACAGAAGCTTGAGTGAACTTATCACATCACACCCACAATCAGGAAAAAAGAGCATAGAATGCTTTCATGACAAACTCTACTCAGTCTCTCCATTTCACCCAGGGTACAGGGCAGATCTGAAAATGGTGATGCTGCTCATGGTCAGCTGAGTCTTCCTACAGTGGTTATTGAAATCTGCCACAGACACTCACACACAAACCTATTCCAGATGAGCCCTTATTGAGATTCTCTTCATGGTGATTCTACCCTGAGTCTAGTTGACTGAACTAAAATCACAGATGAAGAGTATTTCTGAGGCTCCTGAGGCAGTGAGTGCAAACTGTTACACTTCCTAACTCTAACCTGCAGTCTGAAGCAGGAAGAAACCAACACATCTCCATCTAATGCATACCACATAGACATCCACTGTAGTCATTGTTTATGCAGAACTGAGATGTATCTTCAAGTTTCCTGGAGATAACCAGTTAGTACAAAACATTAAGGAAGTCTACAAAACAACCATTAAGGAAGCAACAATGGCTCAGGAACTATTGTATGATTTTACCCTGCTATGTCACTTTTTCTACAAGCTGTGACCAAATGTCTATATACCGCGGATAGAGCACCAATGACAGACCAAATAACGATTGCAGAAAAGTCCAACTTGGAAAACTAATAATTTTATTTAGGTTACTTACAGGAGCATGAGTGATTGAAAATCAATCAGCTACAGTCCTCTCCAGCATCTTACAGGTTTGTGTTCAGCTCCCCCTGCAGCCCCAGACACTGTGTACTCAGAGCACAGAAGTATACAGCAGAGTCACTTAGGTGCACAGAGGCTTTCTTCAGGTGGAAGGAAGAGTCGCTCTTGCCAAACTCAGCCTCAAAACCACTCAAGCCATGAACCACGGGGTCTCCTGAAAAGTATGTGAGGAGAAATTGGAGGCCATAGCTAGGGCTCTGCCTGTACCAGAAGAGGTAAGGAACTCCACTGTAGGAATAAGTGCATCTGAGCTCCACCGAGTCTCCTTCGAAGACAATGACATGGGCATCAGGCTGAGTAACTGACTGTGCTTGGATGTCTCCTGCAAAATCAATAACAAGTCAGTAAATGTGATGCAGACTTCATGAAGGAAAATATTCTTACTACAATTCAGGCGAGAAAAACACTGATTCATGTACATACTTAAACAATGAGGATGTTTTACTCACCCAAGAAAAAATGCATCCCCAGGAACGAGATGAGGACTGGAAGCATGGCTGAGCACTGGGAACACTTTTGCAGTCTTTCTGGAAAAGCTTGGCACATGCAGGGAAGTGGCTGAAGTCCCAGTTCTTGAAGACAATGGCACAAAGTTGACTAGACACCTATCACTTTTAGATAAAATTCTAAAAAAAAAAAAAAAAAAAGCCTGCAGAAGTGGCCCTGGTATTGGGAACTTTCTGGCGTCTGGCTATCTTCACTTCTTCACTTAATCACATGTTCTAAGAACTCAGCCAGACACAGGGACAGAAGACTAAGTTGAAAGTGTGGAGCTACTGCAGAAATGGAGACAGTTAGTCTGTGCAACGTCGCCCTCAGGTGGCCTGTGCAGGATAAAGACGCTGAAGCAAATTCGTGTCTTTTCTGTCTAGAGCATGTCTCAAGTTTCTAAGCTAATCTGTGCTGTGTTGAGTACTAACCAAATGAAAAATTGGCCATGCAGAATGGAAGGGTAATTTTCTTTAAAAAAAAATCACATGATAAAAACTGTTAAATTTGGAGGCCATCACCACTTGAAAATAAAAGCATAAGCTGCAAGCAGCCCTGCTGCCTGAAACTTGTCAAAACCCAGAGACTGGATTTTTTATTGAAGGCAGAAAAAAAAAATCTCCCTTGTGGTATTTTCTCATAGCATTTTTGTAGAGAGCCAGAACAATGGATATCAATGTGAAGAACAGTCTTATTTTCCTGTTCAGATGGCTCTTGGATCTGAGATGTCCTTCCCATTCCCTACCGCCTACTAGCTCTCCCTCTCCCCCATTTCTTCCTCACTTCTCTACCTCCACACAACCCCATGTTTAACTGAGAACAAACAGATCATTATCAGTGTGTTTTCCTGAGGATTCCTTCTTACAGAAGCAGACCACACATGCTCTTACAATTCATATGCAGAGGGCCCTCTCACTGTGCCCCTAATACAGCTGTTTCCTATGCAGACACATTCAGGCCAAATGCCCTTGGCAGGCCTTTATAGGCCTTGGCTGGCAGTGCACATCCAATCAAGTATCTTTCTGGTAGGGTATGAAGATAATGACTGTGGTGAAATGAAAGAAAAAAAGGACAAATAGAAAATAGTAGTCTGATATGTGAAACCTTGCCTTTAAAAATGAAAACAAATGTATCGGTTTCGAGTAGGATTGTGAAGATTCAGTAACTTAAGATAAGCATTAATGATAATGCAATAGAGAAAAAACAGCAAAACCACATCATTATTCAGTCTGGATAGTTCTGGGATGACACACCATCAAAGAAATAACAGACTGGAGCATCTGCTGATGGAACTATGTTGAATAATGAAGGTACTTATACACACACACACACACACACACACACACACACACACACACACACACGCACAGAGAGAGAGAGAGAGAGAGAGAGAGAGAGAGAGAGGTCCTTTAAAAGTATCAAAATTTATGAAAAGAGTAAAAGAAAGTTTACAGGAGCCATGGACTCCTTAGGTGGAGCACCAGTGAAGCCCACCAGTGAAGCCCATCCCAGAAAAACAGAAACCGTGAGAACAGCTTGACATAGACACACATTAGTTTCCAGCAATTTTAAGTGGGTGGATGTTGGGTAAGCTAATGAAGGTAACGTTGATTGTGGCCAATAGCCATGCCATTGTGAAAGATAAGTTTTTTCTTCCCCCTTTGTGTTAAGACATGGGGTTAAAAGAAGGTTAGATGTTAACTCAAAACAATAGTATCGTGAGATAAAGGAGTCACTTTACGATGAGTAAAGGGTCTCTGTCCAGAAGAGATGATTTTTCTGTTTCTGCACTTAATAAGAGAGTCATAAAAATGCATGAAACAACATCTGAGAAAATTAAAATGAGATAAGTCTACAATCAGAGTTATAGATTGTAATGGTCACTTTCAAATAGTTAATATGACAAGGTAAAAAACGGACTAGAACTAGATTAGAGCAACTAATTAGACCAAATTGACACCTGTACTGCCATTACGCTCACCAATGCTGTGGACTTTTTACCAGTGGACAAGCAGTGTTCTCTTAGACAGACCAGACACTTAGACAGTTCAAAATACACCAATGAGCCTTCAGGGATTGAAGTTACATGACATTGTTTGTTGGCCACAAAGTAACAGAAATCAGTCACATGACAAATGAAAAAATGTAACTGAGTATTTGGAAATTAAATAACACCTTTCAATTAACCCACTGATACTGATAAGGGTAAAGATAAAGGGGAGGTGAGAAACTATTGTGAACTAAATTTTGGTAGAACAAAGCCTATGGATATGTTTTGGGTGTAGCTAGCACAGTATATAGATGGAGTCATATAAGGTTTCAAGGAGAGAAGGAAGAGTTCAAATCATCAACAGACATCCACCATGAGACTCATTCTTCACAGTTTTCCAATTCATTTGTACTTAATTTATTCAATATTCACTGGTGCATAAAATGTGTTTGATTCAATCCACTACCATTCCCTCTCCACCAATGCCTCCTACCTACTATTTCTTTTCCGACTTCATGGGCTGTCTGTGTGTGTTTGAGTGTTTATTTGTTTTCTTGTTTTAAAATAAATACCCAGTCAGTCAATCTAGTGCTCCCTGTATGTGCATAGTGTGATAGCATCCCACCATCCCACTAGATAACTTCTTAGGACCCGCATCCCCAACGAAAAGAGATTCTTTCTCTCCTTTTGAAATTGTTCAATTAAATATGTGAAATAAGTTACTTCAAACAGGAAAATCTGACAGTAATGTAAGTTTATTATTTTCTTATGCTGGCTATTAGCATAGTATATTGCTTTTTCCTTACTTTCATTTTCAGTCTGTATTTGTCAACAAAAATCAATTTTTAAAAGAATGGTGTGCATTGCATGGTGGAGTATTACACTTACTTCATGGTTCTTTTCTTTTGATTGGAATATTCTGCTCTTTATATTTAATGTAATTATTTAGGATCTGCTTGATACTTGCTTTGCTTTTGAAGAATTTTGTTGTTGTTGTTTTGCTTTTACACTTACTTTTTATTCTAGTATTCTCTTGTATATGAATTTTTGGAATTGTGTGATGGTCTAATTCATGCAATATTAGTATCAACAAATTTTGTTATTACATAAAAACTCCAATGCTATATATATATATATACACACATCTATATATATGTTGTTGGACAACAAGACCCCATAGTCCTCTCAAAGTGAAATCCATCCCAATTCTATAGGGTGGGGCTTCACATCACATTGCATTCCTGGGAGGAGCTGATACAATCTTGAAAAACTCCAATGAGAATGCATATACAAATATTCAAGAATAATAACTCATCTTTGGCACTCAAACAGATCCATTTGATGTATAAAATAATGGTCTTTAAGACATCTGAAATTGAAGTGAAGTTGAGTTATAAAACAAAGTTCATAATATTCTTCAGTGGCATACATTTTAATTTACATAGCATAGTTCATGGAGATCCATGACTTGTTAGGTCCTGGTCTAACAGGTTTCTTATTTGGGAAATCACCATATTGCAATGTCACATTGGAACATTGAGAATTACTGTAAATATAATATAAACACTAGAATAATTAGAATAAAATAGAAGTTAAAAAACTCTACTGTGCAATTGCCCTAAATGGCACATTTTCTCTGTACATTCCTCAAAATATTTTGTCCATTCCTCACAATATTTCTACAATGCAGTAGATACAATTTCACTTAGCAAGAAGAAATTTTTCCCCACCTGCATATCAATGACAAGCTTTTTTTCCCAAAGTACAGTAGTAACTCTCCAGCCCTGAGTGCATTTTTCTTTTCTTTTTGCTTAAGTAGCCATTTACATTTTATTTATTTAAATAACACTCTTTTATATTTATTTTATATGCCAACCAGTTCCCCCTTCCCTCCTTTTTCCCATCTACCCTTCTCCCCATCCACTCCTCCTACATCTCTATTCACAAAGGGATAGGCCTCTTATGTACTTGCACAAAGCATGGGACATCAAGTTGAGGCAGGACCTAGCTCCTCTGCTTACCTGGATTATCATCCAGGCTGGGCAGGTCATCCAGCATGGTAAACAGGTTACCAAAAGCCAGCTAAAAGCCAGGGAGAAGTCCTGCTTTCACTGTTAGAAGCCTTACTAAGAGACCAAGCTACAGGATTGATGCATACATCCAGAGGGCCTAGGTCGGTACTATGTAGGCCTTGACTGTTGATCCAGTATCCATGAGCTCCAAGAGCTGGGGTCAGCTGTCTCTGGGGATTCCACCTCCATGATCCCTGGTTGTGTGCATTTTTTCAATTCAAGTTCAAACAAACCTAGGAAAGCAACAGATGAAGAAGAGCCAGGCTCCCTGAATCTTTTCTGGCATGATTGCTACAGCAGGAACTTTGCTTCAGTTCAGGAATGGATGCTTCTATTGTGCTAGGCTTTGTGCTAGGAAATGGAGCCAGTGCAAACATCACTAATGTGTTAGCCGGACACAAGATGGCAGTGTTTCAGTGAAGCACTACTTTCCCCTCCACAGGGAGAACCAGAGACTGATTTTTAGTAAAGGAAAATAGATTTAGACACTTTCACAATGTGGTGACCCTTGGCTGAATACATATGGATGAGAAATCTGTAAATCTTATCAAGAATCTGTGGCTGGGAGCTCTTAGACCCTACAGATAAACCCATTCTTTTGCTAACTGAACACAGTATTAAATTGCATTTTAAACATGAATCTCATAAATAACCAGGAAAGACTATTAAGTGAAGTTACGCAATCTCAGGTTGCAGAACCAATTTTTAGTAACCTATTTGTGGGCCTTTACTAGGATCCAGCAGACTTGCCTGGTTTGTATCTGAGAGGGGGAGTGTTGATTGAGCAACAGCAAAGATGCTTAAGAAATGGACAGAGACACAGGATAGAGTTGGGAGGGCAATCCAGGGAATATTGGGTGCCCCAAGCTTACTTTTCAAAATTCTTAAGAACTGTAACCAGAAAGGGACATGGCAAAAGACTTTTTTTTTTTTTTAAATCATGTATAAGGAACAAATAGACTTTCTTTCCTTAATCCTCCAAGCATTTGGTAACAACCTTTAGACTGAATTTCCCATTACAGTTTTACTTTACCCTTTTAATTATCATTCTTGGT